AAGCAACTCAGCAGTAAACACAAACTCTAAAGGGGGTCCTGTGAGCAACAACAGAGTTCCAGCAAACCACAACAGAGCCTATAAAATCAGTGGATCTGTAAAAATGGGAATGGAATGATGGTTCAAAAGGTGTTAATTATACAGAAGTCAGTCCTTTCAGTCATGAATGTTCAACTTTTTCAGGTATCTCACCAAAAGATTGTAGTGAGGGGCAGTAAGAAGACACGGTGGGATGGGTAGGTTATCAGTTACAGCAACATCATCCAATGTGAGACTTAACTCCATTAACTTTAGCTGGATATGAAAGCCAAAATTAGGAGTAGCAGACCATTTATTTCAAAAGAGCATAGCCTATTGGGATATGAAAGCACTGTAAATCATGAATGGATTTTTGTAGCACACTAGAAAAAAAACAACAAACGTCAGTAGTGAAATGAGACTTCATAGGACTTTGTGTAAAAATTTTAGCTTGGAAAGTGTGGTAAGCCCTTGATAATGTACAGGGTCCATCATATTCATTGCAGAGTTCTTGAGTTATATGTAGGTCAGAGACCCATAGTTGAGTTTAAATTGAATGAGAGTATGATAAATCTTCAACACAGAACACCTATCCACTTCCCAAAAATGGAAGATAGGTTGCAGAAGATTTTCAGTGCTCTCATACATTTGACTTTAAGTGAGAAATTAAAATCAGCTTATTGTCAAGTAGAAGTCTTAAGAATCCTGTTTCAGTCATCATGGGAACTTGCACACATTCCAGATGGAGTTTGGATCAGAGTACAATCCTTATTGATAGCAGAAATGTGTGCAACTTCTTTTAAATGACAAAAAATTCAAACCATTTGAAGCAGTCCATTCACATAATCTATTGAGCACAGTTTGAAGCTGCTGGTCAATGTACTTCATATTCAATGATCAGCAGAGAATCTGAAAGACATCAGTGGAGGAAGTTGCTCAGTGATGACATTGATCTTAATGTTAAAATGTGGAAAATTCAAGACATGAGGTGCTCAAAGTTCCTGCATAAAGGATTGAGATTGTATTGATTCAACATGGATATGGAATGATCTATCCACTGAAATGTTGCATAGAAAAATTTTAGTGTAATGAGCCTACTCATGATAAGAAAAATGAACTGAAGAAAGATGCTCCCTCAAGTGGTCATGGTGGATCACTATTTACAAAAACCACAGTTAGTCAGATCAATAGACCTGTAATTAGAAAGAATCTTATGATTTTCATGAGCTTAGTTCAATGTCATGAGTATGAAAAATTGTTTTCTCATCAAATCCAGTTAAACAGAACTAGAAGAAAATCAAGAGATGTAGGAGAGAAATGAAATATTATCTTGTAATGATGTAATTTAGCCTGAGAGCAAATTTTAGTTCCAATAGAGCAAGTAGTCAGAAAGAAAGTCTGGCTAAAAAGAAGGTGGAGTTCTTCTGGTCCAAGTACTGATAGTAAAAAAGGCAGGGGAACAGATGGAGATGCATGAATGATAAAGAAAACACTCTCCAATTGTTGGGTATATCCTGTAAGTCAGCTACTTCCTGACAACTTTGTTGCAAAATTGAGAGCAATATTTCCCATTCACCATTAGAATCTTGTCACAAATGACATTGGAACTGGTGATGGAAAAGACACTGGAAGTGAATGCAATCTGAAACTCTTTGTGGTTTTGATATTTGATCTGCCAGTCATAGCCAGAAGCCTTATTAAAGGCTGTGTGGTTGGTGAAAACAGAATATCTTCAGCAAATATCAAAGGCTTATACCTGAGCCTTCTGTGCCTTTTGAAAATCAAGTATCCATCTTGTGATTGTTGTTGTTGTTTATAATTAAGCACAAAGCTACACAAAGGGCTATCTCTGCTCTGCCCACCATGGGTATTAAAACCCGGTTTCTAGCATTGTAAGTCCGCAGACATACCGCTGTGCCACTGCCAGGCCCATCTTGTGGAAAGTTGTCGAGTTTCTAAGGATGGTAAGAACTAATTGGACAATATGAACAATTATTGTATCCACACAGTTGATAACAGATGGTTAATCAATAATTCTTTGTTGTTGAATTTTGCACAAACCTACCAGCACTATCTGTCCTTAATTTTGAAGTTATAGATTTGAGGGAAGGCAGCTAGTCAATACCACTCACTGCCAACTTGTGGGATTTGACCATCACCCTTACAACACACACTCACAACCCAAAAGTGCAGAGCATGATTTTTTCTGTTATTAATAATGGTATGCAAACCATGAAACCTCAAATTCACAGTCCAACATGTTAACCATTGGTTTGCACTAGACTCAGGTTAATGGTGCAAGATCAAACATTGAAAGAGTGATGAAGAATGACCAACTGTCTTTCTTCAGCTTCCACTGTGGTACAAAAGGTGGGTAGTAATAGCCAAAAACAATCTCTCTCTCATAATGATGACAAATATTATCATTGCTTTGTGGATCACTGTCCACCTCTCAAGAAGAAAAAAAAAAAAAGAAGAGAGGGTGAAAAAATAGTAACTTTCTGATTCAGGACATTGAAATATGTATATCTGTGTATTTAAGAAAGAAAGAAAGGTCGTGATTCTAGAGGAAAGACTCCATAAAATGACCTCTCCCATCAATATCTTACCGCCCCAGAATATATTTTGTCCATTTAAGTCTCCCCAGGTAATGAGAGGAGTCTATAACTGCTCAATAAGATCACCAAGGTCTGCCTGATAGATCTCATCTACTGGAAACAAGTAAAGAGAACATTGTGTGATGGTACAACCAATGGTGATACAGATGAAAATAGCACCAAGAATTATATGAGAGGCATATTCATAGAAGGAGTAGGCTGGTTAATCAGCAGTGCTACTTCACCATGCAGTATTAGAAGTTTTCAGAAATTTCACCTGTAATAAGGTGGTAAGAAGCAATCAATGTCTTAATGTCATCTTAATTAGAACAAAAACCTTAAGAGTTCCACTGTATCAGTATGATGGAGAAGATATAAGTAAGGGGCTCTTCTTTATTGGATGTATGACCATCTTTTTTCCATGGTAGGTTGATGATACTATGGGCCCTGTCCAGGATCAAAGAAGCAGGTTCCCTTTGGAACGATAAGATTTTAATGAGTAAGGGTGAAACTGAATAATGATCTTGCAATCAGAGAAATGGAACTGGTCATGATTGCTCACTGAAGCTAATGTCAGGTGGCAGAAATGGGATGATGTGGATTTATCCATTAGCTAGAGAGTCTTCACATGGTAGGAAAATGACTCTATTAGAGGGGAAGAAAGATCTGTCTGCACCCCCACTGTACCAGTGAAACAGAATGCAGCAGCAAAACTGTTTTTAAAAAGGTGTCCTCATCTTTCATGCCTTGGGGTAAATGATCAGAGTAATAGGAATGGGCCAATGAAGTTGACACAATATGGTTCTAACTGACATCCATTGCTATTACGGTTTTTATCACTGCAACAAGCACAGGATAAAGAATCATGACAAGATGCTTTTGTGTGTCCAAATCACTGATAGAGAAAAAATTGGAGGGTTCAGAAAACATAGCTGGATGTTACATTTCAAATAACCTGCCTTTACACTGGCAGGTGGGTGTGGAGATGTAAAATCCAAAATAAGCACCCTATTTAGCTCAGTAGTTCCATTTTACAAGTGAAGTTTTATTTAATGGCAGATAATCCTTGATTGGAGGGACCAGCAAGAATCTAAAATTTGAGAATGTAAAGAAAATCTCTCTTGACAAAAAAACCTCAAGATGAATTCAGAGTACTATGTGGGGTGATCTCAACGGGTATTACTCCAATGACCTTTGATCTCAAATAAGTTTGCTATTGTAATGTTTTGGTCAGGAGGCCCCCAGATCTTTGCTCTTTTATCCAGTTTGGAAAGCAGATATTGAAATACAGGAACTTCAGTAATGTAAGAACAGTCATCTGTTCATAATTATCTTATAGTTTATTTGTGCAGTTATTTTATGTTTTTATCCATAGGAAAAAAAAAGAAAGAAATATTTGGTTTCCATTGACCCCACTCACCATGAAGCCCTACAACATGTTGATTTGTTGAGGGCAGTGCAGCAATGCCAAAATATCATAAACAGTATATCCAAAAACCAGTATCAAACATAATGTCCAGAACATGTTTTGAGGGTATCCAATATTCACACTTGGTTGACCGTATCCACAATTGACCTACCGACTGACCCTGGGCCTCCTGTCTATAGGGAATCCATGACAAAATTACAATGACCCAGAAAACACTCAAATACCAGGATCATCTCTTCCCTCTCATAGGTCACCACCACTGCAAATACATAGGTAGATATTTGGATACCAAAATATTGTAGAGCCAGAACTTTCCCTGGGAGGTCTCTTCTCACCATGTACAGAAATACACATTAAGGGACTACTACAAAGAGCCTCTGATATACTAAATCAGATAAGTTGTTTATAGTTAGATTGCACAATAAAAGTGGAGCATACTCTATATATTTAACACATTTTATGCAAATGAGACTTAGATCTACTGTTGTTAAACAACTCATGAGATTATATTACAAATTAAATAACAAATCTGTTTACACATAAGTCATATGTAAAGTGTGACACATATATTGTTTAGATATACTGTTTACATGCAATTCATATGGCAAAGGGATATCCAGATATACTATTTACAAATGATTCTCGCCCTGCATAGGGAGATCTAGTTATACACCTTACAAATAATTCTCAATACAACATAGTGAGGTTGATATATTGTATACAAATAACAACCATATCACAAAAATTTCTGATACATTATTTATAGATAACTCATAGTGCATATATTAGTTACTGGTAACTCATACTACACAACAAGAATCAAATATATAGTTATACCTGTACAATTAGGCTCATATACAAATCTTATATATCATGTACATGTACATTTTGTCAATACTTGAAGATATTTGCATAACTCTTGTTCCTGATGTAGATTCTCTTCTAAAAAGTTAGTCTTTTTTTTTGTCATTTCTCAATTACTGTATCTGTTTATATTTGGCTGCCAATGATGCTATCTTACACTTCATTAAGTTACGTGGCATATGAATGGTTACATACAATGTATACATTATTAGAAACTGAAAATGTGAATGGTCTGGCAATAAAATACTATCAAATGGTTCAAAGTCAAAATATTTAAAATTATACATATAAAAAAAGAGTTAAGTCTCTAATCATAGATCTTTGTGTTGGCAGGGATTATCCGTTTGAAACTCAGTAGCAAACTGTAGTTAATGATAAGACTTATTATTATTACAATAGTGTTAAGCAACACCTTAAAAATAAATCAAGCAGCATACTTTTATAATTAATTTTGCATTCCAAATATTTGCTGAGAAAAAAATTCCATGTCAGTGTTGATTTTCACCTATTTCAAGAAACATTTTGTTGACTTTAACAGTATCTGAAAATTCTTAGTCATATGTTTTCTGCTCAAGACAAATATAAGACAGATTTTTGGTCTTGTTAGGTATATTTTATTATTAAACATTATTTCTATTTATCAAGTTTACTAATACACACACACATGTAATCCTCTTTTGGAATATTTATATATTCATAAACAAATGTAGTTATTTCAAATGGTGAATATAAACACTTGTACTTATATTTTGACTCACCAAACAAATAGTTTTGTAGAAACACATTATATAGGTTAAACTTTGTAATTAAACACAATATAAAAGCACAAGTACATTTCACAAATTCATGCTAACTAAAACCTGTTATTTCATTTATTTTTATACAGATGGTATGCATATAATATATTGGAATAAAAATAAATTTACATAGTTGTCTAGAAGCTAAAAACAGATTAGTTCCTACACTTCCATCCAATACATGTGAAAAGTAATTTGAATAAAGAAGTATTATACTTAATCACAGTTAAGAAAAGTTATATGTCCAAGTTCAATGATATGTCAAAACTACACAATATTTATACAGTTTGTTTTTTGTTAATCTAGAATACGAGTGTATAGACAAAAAGAAAAATGAATATTTGGACAGTTTGTTTTTATAAATTCACCATCAATTTAAAAATATAATGTTTTCTGTCTGTAGTTGACGATTTTTTCTTTTCAAACGTTGAACCTGTTTTATGAAGTAAAACCTTTCAGCATCATTTAACTATCATACTTCAAGAACATGGTATTCCATGTCACCCAAGTGTTGTTCTTTAAATTTACTGTATTTCACCTAACCCAACAAAATATTTAAGTACTATCACATTACCATTATTTTATTACATTCGATGAATATATTTTGAAATGCTTTAAGACTTGCTCTTATTATATATTTAACTCATATAATAAAGTTTCTATCTCTCCTCATACACTTTAAATGATGACATTAGTTAACATTTTCAAATGCATATCTGAGGCATTTAATATTAATAAATTGAAAATCAAGTGTTTACTGTTCTTTTACATTTCCTTTCAAGCTGTCAAATTGAACAGACATCTACTAAAATAACACCATGTAATCACTAGAAACTGCATTAGAAACTAATGATGAGCAACTGAAGAAATTATTATAACTTATATTTTGATATTTCATGAGGATAATATAAATTTTGTTATTGCTATGTAGCATCAAGTTATGATCAACCCTTCTTCAACTTTTCAAACTATTATTTGGTTAAAAATGAATAATACATAATGAAAACTATTTCACTAAAGTTATGTCACACTGTACATTTGTAGTTTTTAAAGTGTGAATTTTATTTGTTAAGGGTTTATTAAATATATGTTCAGTACGTAACATACTCTGGAAAAAACAACAAAAAGAAAATACTGTTATGAACACAAAATTAAACATAGAATCTAAATAAAATATATTTATTCTTGCATTTCACTCTGGTATGAAGAATAAGAAAGTTCTTCAAATATTTTCTGTGTGTTCACAACTATATACATATTTTTTACATAGTTAATACAGGTTCTGATCAGTTTATACTACCTATTAGTAAGAAAAAAGCTTACCACAGTGTCAGAAGAAATTAGATGAAAGAAAAGCAGTGTTTTCTTTCTTACTTGTACCATAGAGCTACTTCATATAACTCAGTTACAAAAGTTAACTCATGAATGCTCTAATAAACAGTAGTTAATATTCTGCATAATGTAGTATTTAAAAATGAAATCCATGGATAATAGATGAACTGGTTACTTGCACATCACATCACTGGTCCTAAGGGTTTGGAAAAATGAATTAATAGATGAGTAAAGTCACAATAAACATGGTATTTAAAACATGCATTAAATAGTAAATATTTAAATTATTCACTGCAGCCAAGACATTAGTTCCCAGGTAGGATAGTCAGTTATTAAAAAAGATGTAACATATCACATAGAGAGATTTATTTAATAGATTAGTGAAAAAGAAAATCAAATCATCTGAAGATTAACTTCAAATTCAATGGTACATATCCATCAATCTATTCAATTTTACACAGTACACATTTATTGATTTAGCATAATATAAAAGATAATCTTCACAACAAAAACCATGTTCCAATTTTTTCAGTCCTATATGTTAAAAGTTTAAATCAATACCAGGTTTGAACAGTGTAAAATACACAAGTTATTCTCTTTACTAATTATTGAATTTTTGTTTTTTTCCTAGAAGCCTAAGAAGGTGATATTTACATGTCAATTTTGACATCTTATAAAATCTCTTATTAGATTCAGTTATTCCTAAAGATGTTGAGCTTGGCATTAATTGAATAATAACTACAAATGGTCAGAATTTAAACAAGTAATGCATGTGCACAAGTCTCCACAATGGTCAAACCATCAAAGTACATTTTTTATGTTTAAAACACATTAATATAAACACCCATGAATAATAAATAATAACTTAGGAATAAAACATTTCATGATTCTAAGTATGTCAGTTTCCAATATTTATGGCTGCATAGTCATCACTTAACGTATATTTTTATTTTCCATGTAATTTATAAAATTCTGACATTCAGTTATTTTTAAAGTTCCAAAAATAAATATGAGAAGAGTGAAACAACAGATTTTTAATGTAATTAAATACGGCCTTTAACTTTGAAATTATTATTACTTTTTTTTGGAAATAGTAAAAACAACTTAAAAAATTTTACTAGCAAGGGGTTTTACACAGCTTACAAGTTGTTGTCCTCAAAACCAGACTAGCGCCTACATTGCTACAAGACAAAAAATCTCGAACGCAGAAAGTTTATCAAACAAAATAATGTGAAAGAAATAAGTAATCTAAAAATTGGGTAGTGTATCAACTTTTATAACTTATTACTATTACTTAGTAGTTAGTATCAGAGATAAGTTACTAATTGCATGAGCACACAAGGAATTTCATACAACACCTTTAGCTTTACGTGTCTTTGTTCTTAAACAAATCATTAAGGTAAAAAATATAATGATTAATTTATGTAAAAATGAAATAAAATTTTTATCATAATTAATTGACACATATAAAATCCCACGACGTTAACGTTTAAGTGCTGCGTTTAAATCACGAAGGTTTGGAAGATACGGATTCTCATTTCTGGCAGTGACATCTACCCATTATAATAGTTACAGCAAATAAAATATTAAATATTGTCAAAAATGCTCACGTACATTCTAGAGAAAATATCTCAAGCTTAATATATCAAAGCATAGAACTTTAATTTATTGTCAAACTGAATTTTAAAAAGCTTTTATAAATAGAGTTATTCGTTTTATTAACCTTATTTTGTAAGAAATTGAACACTGGTGATGTTCGATGAAGTAATATGGTTTGAGTAACGTGAAATTCGTTTGGATATTTACATCTTATTTCAATATTTTAATATATTTTTACGTTAGACTTGAAACTATAAAATATATGGTTTCAATTAACAGCTATGCATATATGTAGACAGACAGATATTTAGATACTGAGGGAAAACAAGACTCACTGCTGAAAATATTTAAGGAATAAACGGTGTTTTCTGTATTCTAACTGTGATAAGGCACAATTACTGTTATGAAATAATGTTAATTTTTATGCAAAATAAGTGTAAAGTGAGCGTTCATGTAATCTGATATACACATTTCAATTATTATGTAAAAGTGAAGAGAAAACGGTGCGTTCTCAGCAGTTTGAAAAACTTCAAAACGTGTAAGGAGATCCAGACTGTATATGATACATGCCAGAACCACATTGGCATTTGGACATTTCTGTGAGAGGGAGAGCAGTAGGTTAGTTAAAAAGCCAGTCAAATAGAACAATTCTTTCCCGAATGGCTACAAGTCATAGTACGCTTTTATGTCACTATGTCTGCAAGACGATAGCTATTTGACAAGATGGGTTCAACTAACTACCAGGCCTTAACTTCTCAAATGAATCAACAGTTCCGAACAGCAACTAAAAGACAAGTCAGCATTCAGATTGCCAGAAACTGGCTTGATAAGGTTGTTTTTACTCCATATAACCAATGGTATGTATTTTTCTAATCCATTGCCACAAAAACAACCTGTATTGGTCAAACAAAATGGTACAGAAAATCTTAGTATACTTCACCCTGCAGCTAAATATGAAACTTGAACACATTTGAACGATGCCTAAGACCAGCTTCAACTCCAATTTCACACAGAAAAGACACACGTATGGCGGTGGTGACAAATTGGTCTGGGAAAAGATCAGTATTTGTAACCATACTGACCTTTCTGTGCTTTGCCATGGCTCTATTAAGGACATACAATATAGAGATGCAGTCTTACAATTATTAGTGTTGCCATACGAAGGTAGTTGGTCCGAACTTTCTTCCAAGGGATGATTAAGTGCTCCCCAACGTGCTCAACTAAATTGTTATTTCCTAGAAGAAAAGGTATCCAACAAATGGACTGGCTAGCACACACATAAAATATAAAGGAATCTGGACATATATATGGGATGCTTTCAGTTCTAATCAATGTTAAAGAACTAGAAGGAGCTCTAACGAAGGACTCAGTAACGTCACCCCAGCAGTTCATCGATTTACTAATTTTAAGCATAAAAATGTGCGATTTGTATTAGTGTACATGGCGATCTCTGCCTTATTAACAAATGTTTTTCAGTTCCAGATGAGCGAATGTGGGCCTGAACTTCAATAGTATACATCTGACACTACTCAACATCAGTAGTTGTGCCTTGTCATAGCTAAAATAAGAAAACTCCGATTACCTCTTATTATTTTGTTGAAGAGCGTAACTAAATAAGATAGGACTTAAGATGGAGTAGAAAAGCTTAGAAAGTAATCACTATTTTCTAATAAATAGTCTACCTAAATATATATCTATCTATATATATATATATATACTACCCTCCAAAAGTCTGAATACCCCGACTTAAATATTCCTATAATATTATTATATCATATGATTCATGATGGGTGTTTATATTTGTAATAGGTGTATTTCACAATAACACAAAATTTACTCTAACATGCACAAACACAAGTACCTCTGGAGGATGCGCTAAAATCTAGTGTTGCTAGTGCTTATGCCTAGTAGCCAGGCCTTGCTTTCTCCGTCAAGGTATAAATATCATATCATTTTAGACTATTTTCTAGTTTAGAAGAGGCTAATCCACAAATAAGATATCTTTTAAAAGATCTATACGGTCATTTCAAAAGTTTATTTAGTGATAAATGTTATGATAATTTGAGGGTTTTTCTAGAATATGGCGAAATTCCTCAAGAAGAAAGTGAAACTTTTATCTGAAACGAGATCTTATGTTGCTATTCTTATTCAGGAAAAAACATTCCTACAAAGCTATTTCTCAGAAACTGCATATTCACGTGGAGCTGTACAGTAAACACTCAATCACTACCTAAAAATTGACAAAACCAAGTCAGGAAATAAGATATAGAGACCACAATATATCACAGAATGCCAGGAGAGAATACTTATTAGCTAAGATGTCTAAAACAGACAGATTTATTACTGTATCTGGACGTACTCGGAAGCTGCTGTTAATGTAACCAACAATACAACAAGAAGAATGTTGAATATAGCGGGTTTAGCGTGCCAAGAAGTTTCTAATAAGCTCCAAAGACATGAAGAAGACTCCATTTTGCGATAGAGACCACCAGAATTGGGGATGCTCAGTAGAAAAAATTGTTGTTCACTGATAAGACCAAAATGGAGATATTCAGTAATTTTCAACAGGCGCTCATGCAGAGGAATAAAGATGAGAAATACATCAAAGAATGTGTATTCAGCATGGTGAACCATGGAGGAGGATCTATGTGTATTCAGCATGGTGAACCATGGAGGAGGATCTATGTGTATTCAGCATGGTGAACCATGGAGGAGGATCTATGTGTATTCAGCATGGTGAACCATGGAGGAGGATCTATGTGTATTCAGCATGGTGAACCATGGAGGAGGATCTATGGGGCTACTATTGTTCTGCAAATGTCGGAGATATCGTAAAATAAACAGAACCACGAAGGAGACTATCATTTGATCCGAGTACACCATTCCATCTCAAGCGGAATACGTTTAACTGATAGAGGGTCTATTTCTAGTAGGATAATGACCCTAAACACGTCACACTCATTAACAGGTTAACAAGTATCTGTTTTGACAACACTTTGTATTTGACTGCAGTATTTTGTAAAACGTATCGAAGTTTTAATGCAGAAGTTCAAACAATTTTGAAAACTGTATGAAGTATGAACATCATTAACCTTATATTATGAAATCACAAAAATCTTTATATACAGACAAAATTTTGTACGAATAAGTTTGCTATACTGCCTAAAGAAAATCGTCTGTTTTTTCGTAATAAAATGTCTAAAATCAAACGTGTCTATCTATTTCTTCTTCATTGGTAAGTTTCATAATTTGGCGATATTGTTCCTATAATTAACAAACTCTACAACATCTTCCTTGTACTTAAAAACTAAGTATCTATTATCTAAATATCTGATATAATAAACGAGCATAAAATCTTCAGAACAGTGTGGTAAAATTGTTTCTCGTTTAAATACCAAACAAAAGAAGGGTCTCTCAGTGACTACATTCCAAAAAAGTAAACTGAACATTTATTATTATTGAATACAAAATGTAATTGTTTTGCGACTCTTTTCAAGTAGTTAGTAATGTAGGGATCCTGTATCTAAATCGGTAAGATGGCATCTTCTTAAATTGCTTCATCTTCATTAATTGGTTTAAAAAATATTAATTATATTTTATAGTATGATCATTATCCATGAATGAATAAAAACATTTAATTAGTGTTTGTTTGTTTGTAGTTAAGCACAAAGCTACACAAAGGACTATCTGTGTTTTGTCCACCACGGATATCGAAACCCGGTTTCTAGCTTTGTAAGTTCACAGACTTGTGCCACTGTAGGGCTTTAATTAGTAAACTAAACTGAACTTAAAGCTTTCCACTTCTGATACATTTAATTTAACTTTCCTCCTGGGCCAGATTAACTAAAATAAAAGATAAATGAAACTAGACAATGAAAGAATGTCATAAATAAAACTAAAGTATTTGTGCTTCAACGCTACAATTATTTTAATGCAGTCATTTCTGTAAGTATAAAGTGTGAAACACTTAACAAAAATTGTTAGAGACAAGGACGTCCAGATTAAGACGACATTGGGCCCAAAGGCAACTTCATTTCTGTGTGTCCTCCTTTCTCCTCAAGCCCTCATTTGTTTGTTTTTGTTTAAGCTTTGCCTTTTAAAACAACCTATTACCAAGGTTTTTATTTTTTAAAAACTAAAGTTTTCAACTTCAAAAATCATATGAAAAATAAAAAGGTATGACTACAACGGAGCCCTTTACGCCATTAGTTAATATTTTTAACATAGTGATGAATAAATATAAAATGTGCAGTCATTTAAATCCCTTGAATCAGAGTGTATATGAAATATGATTGTCTAATGGGCCGTTTATAACCGTATTGTGTTATTCTATGTGTTATTTCAATAAGGAAAATTTCAATGTGTTTGTTTTTAAGAAAAGGAAACTGACTTTAGTGCGTTGTTGGCAAAAGTGTTTAGGTTTCGATGCAATGCGTGCATCTAGCACGATAGTGCGCTCAGGTTCACAAAGTAGGCGCAAGGATTTTTTCCCCTGGATTCTACCGTTCTTTGTCATTTTACTGAGCGCAAGAAAAGGCCGCTGCCGAAGCAAGCGCTCTACGAGAGTTATTGTTTTTATAAGAAGTGTCAAAAGGGAGGTATTCAATTCGAATCAATTTATCCGACATGCTACAATAAAATCATGCATGTATATAATATAAAAATCGAACAACAACAACAAATATATAATCAAACACGTCTCCTCTTTATACGTTTTTTACGCTCACACTCAGTCGACAGAGGAAGTTCTATTTTTTTCGTGAATGTCCCACAAAAGAAACATTTTTGTTGTTAATAAATTTTTCTCAGATTGAATGTTCAGCGCATACGAAGACTGACAGATTGAAGTTGGTATTGATATGAAATATTAGGAATTGTAAACAATGAATAATTTTCCTGTAATGTACTCTTGAAAATAAGCATATATATATATATATATATATA